CCAAAGGACAGCAGGTCCACATCAGCTATTACAGCTGCCAATTAATCAACCTGCTTAAACAAATAAATGAACTTCAACTATTCTTTATTGGCGTGACCTTAATGATTGATTGAGGGGTGATATCAGTTGCAAGGCAAAATTAGACGCTAGTCAATCATGGCGGCCAAAGGGTTCACATGTAAAGTTGCTTCTTGGAAAGGAAGGTTGCTGAACTTACTTTGTAGAAATCTCAATGGCCATTTGAACAGATTTACTGAGGCTTTCACTCATTTGCAAATCCACAGGCTCAATGCTTTGGATGTCAACATTAGTTACCACCTGGTAATTAAAAAAAAAGGATTTTAACTCATAATTTACCATTCGTAACTTGACTTCAGGTATCAAAACAATCTCGAATCCGAAAGAAGAGCTTACATGCGTCTTGATACAACTTAACAGGGTTTAAAAAGTCACCTTAGGATTGTTTTAGGAGAACTCGACTTCAAGTGAAGGCAAAGGAAGGTTTTCATTGCCTTACCAGTTGGTTAGCATCAAATCGAAGGCGTTGTTTGATTACTCCATCTTTGTCGACTCCGAACACAGCCTTCTTAATGAGAGAGGTGGAATAACGATGAAATTCATCAAACGCTACTTGTGCCACTTTGCCGCGGATTCTACTGGCTAAATATGGAGAAACAACACAAGAGTCTGAATAGAAGTACCTTCCATCTTTAGGCCTAATAGATGGTGGTTGGAGGGAGGGGGGGGGATGGGGGAAGGACGGGAGACTTACCCATACGAGAAATTTAGACGCAGCCTTAAATATTACACCACATGACAAGTTACTTGGTTCTTAACCAGTTGGAAATTTCTGGGTTTATCTTTTCTGAATCAGAGTAATACTGTGTCTTACCAACACTCTTGCAAGCATTTCCAATATAATCTGGGACAGAAAAAATTGCTTGTTCTGACTCATCGTTCCCTCTGTCGACCTGAAAGTACAACAAATCAAATGAGCCCTTTTCCAGTTTCTAAAATATGACTGGCTCGTAAGTAACTGAAAGTTTCAAGAGAATTCAAAGACACATTACCTCAAAGAAATTGTTCATGGCAATTTTGATCTTAAGCCTAGCGTGGTCAGATGTTTCCACCTGCAGCAAAATGAGTATTAAACATTGGTGAGTAGTAATAAGTAGAGCAGTTTTCAATTGAGTGTCGAAAAAATCTCGATGACTAATTAAAACAGAAGTTTACATTATCATTAGCTAATGAGAACTCAAAGTGAAAACTGGCACACTGCTTGAAGTGTGGGAAAATGCGCTGGACCAAGTCGTGATTATTTTCAGTTTTGCATCTGATTGGTTTGGAGGATGGCACAAGTTTTGAGGACCAATCACAGAACAGAGTTAGCTAAAACTAAAGCAATCCCGGATTTCTTTCGACACTCAATTGAGAATTGCCCCAGTAGGTCCCCCAATGGTAAGAAACGTTCCTCAAAGCACTTCAGTCCGTGCAAAATAAGTTCCACCACGTGTTCGTGTTGCACGTGTTCCACCAATCAGAGACCCCTGATACTGACACAAGTCATCATGCACGTTTTCCCGCGCGTTGTGCGGGTAACGCGAATTTCATTCTCATTGGTGTAAATCGTTTTCTGTCATGACCCGCCTACCTCTATAATATCTGTTATAAAATCCGGTCCCAGCATCAGACAAATGGTTTTCAAGGCGTCTGGCTTCTTTGGTTTCCCAGCTGGTAAAAAAGGCCAACAGGTTAATAAGAACACCCACAAAAAAAAAAACTATTTTGTGAAACACACAGACAGTGTGTGTTTTGGTGTAGTGAAGGGTTTTTTGAAGAAAAAGAAGAAAGTATTCAAGTTAGGTGACTCACCACTCAAGCACAGCACATTGAAGTTCTCTTGTGGTCCAAGTACAACCTCAAACGTAAAAATCACAAAAATGAACGACAGGTTTTCATTCATATTTCACAGCCCAACATTAGAAGGCAGTAGGTCCTGTTCTCTATACATAAAATACTAAGGTGCTAACAGAAAGAATTTCTATAACAATCAGGTTAGAGCTTCTTTAGGTAGTGATCATAATGATTTCCTTTATCCTCATGACCTTAATGTGTGATTCATGAATGATATTGGAATGACAAACTAGGTACTAGTCACTCTTAGGGGTCAAAGTCCATGTAACCAGGCAGAGAGGTGCTGGATAAGCAAGTGACTTCATACCGGACTGCTTAAATGGTTCCAAGTGTTTGAGCCTCCTAAGAGCCATTTTCAAAGTCATATTGGTCATAATGTAACACTATTCAAGGAGGCAGTGTGGCCGAGTGGTTAGAGTGTCGGACTCGTAATCTGCCGCTCCCGGGTTCGAGTCCCACCCTGACCACTGGATTTGTTTCACGGGAGCCCCGAGTTCAGATCCTTGGCCACACTTGTAAATAGCCAAATGGTTTGCCTCCGGTCGGTTGGGATTCTTAATGATGTTCTTAATGATGTTATGTTCAATTTAGACCATTTGTTTCATTTGTTTGCAAGGACCACAGTGGAAACTACTGGTTCACCAGTAATTGTGTAATCCTATAAAAAAGACTATATAACGATGGAAAACGTTCACTTTTCTACATACCAGGTCTGGTCCAAAGATGACTCTTGCAGTTTTCCTTAAATAGTCATACACCTGGGAAAATCACATTACAAAAACATTGTTCTTTTTGCATTTCACTTCATGTGCAAGGAAATTTAAGGGTTTATAAAAAGCCATGTATGTTGTCATGGATACCACTAGGAGACTTACCTGAACAGCAGTGTTTCCAGGGCAACGGTAGACAATTACCTGGGTCTTGTCTCTGCCCTAGAAAGAGAACATATCAGTACATATTACAGTTAAAAGATATAATCATTATGATAGCTTTTTTATTCATCATTAATTTTTCTTTGTTGTTCAAGGCTTTTTTTTTTTTTACAGTTCAATTCTTTGTAAAACTAAAAAATGTTTCCCTTGGACTTTACTTTCATGGGCTGCAAGCAAATAACTTGGTACACACCTCAGCTCTTGTCAGTGACAGATTAATAGAAGATTCAAAGTAGGCCATTTTCCGAATGTCACCAGAGCCAATGCCTCCACCATTCCTGATAATTAGACAGATAAAAATGTAATTTTCAAAAATGTAACTGACAGTGTACAAATACTCCTTAATGCTTCACACACTCAGTTTGCAATCAATTCATCAGTTAGGCAGTTCAGCTGGCCATGACAGGACAGAAAATGTGTGCACTGTAAGTACCCTCCCATTGTCCCATACAAAGCCTTAGAAAAGTTTTCTAAGGCTTTGAATTGTCCGTCCTGTCATGGATACAAAGGAAATCAAATAAGACAAAAGTAACCAAAAAAATACATTTTCACAGCAATGACAGAATATACAAAACCAATAATGTAAAGACAAACTTAAGGATATTTTCCACGTCATCAGGGAGGTCCTTTTCCCATAATTCCTCATAAGCCCTCAGTAGATATGATTGTGGTCCCATGACAGCGCGTACCTGAGACAAACCAACAAAGATAAACACTGTGAGGACTTAATAATCATTAATAATGAATTAAACCAAAAGTGACTACTCACTGCACCAGTCTGTGTATCCCTGACATAAATCCCTTCATTTTCACAAAGAGGTACAGCTATCCTGTCAAAATAAATTTTACCGATCAAGTAAGAATAGTAATTGAACATCTTGGAAAGATAAAGAAGTAACTTATGACTACTACACCTTTCTACTTATTTCAGATCATAAACCATTACCATCACAGGTAGCAGTAGTATTCTGTTATCTGAAAGCTTTTTTCTCTGATTGCTCACACAATTTATTTAGTTACAAATCAGTGTGTAGTACATGATTTGCACCCATTAGTAATAGTTGATTGTATGGTCTGATTATTCAGGCAAAAGTAGTTCTGATATGAGTAGTTATTGGAAAAAGGAGCAACTGACAATTTGATAAACTGAGTGGTTGCAATCAGGTAGAGTGAAGCTGATTTTAGCTTCTGCTTAGATTTTCAAAAACGCAGTCAGCACTACAGACAACAGATGATGATACCACCATAAATCAGTGGACTGTTTGGGTGGCCCAACAATCCAACCTGCAAACCAGCAAGCCACCACACCTTTAACCATCTCAACCCAAGATCAAATGCTATCAACGCGATTAACAACACCTCTCCAGACCTTTGTGCTTTGACAGCAACTTCTATTGGTGGAATGTATTCAACCGGACCAAATATCATCCAGCGGTCCCCTGGAGAACGATGACACTTCTCTGAAAGGATAAATATTAATAATCAGCACAGCATGATCATTATAAAGTGATTATTAGAAAACAAACCATGAACAACTTCCAGATGGTTTAAAAGAGGTTATCATTGTGATCATCATCAGCAGTTGTTTCCCCACCTAGTGCTGCACAGGGTAGGTAGGTTCCTATCTTGAAATCTTCACCAATAAGCCACAATGCCAACTGGGTTTGAAGTCTTCAGTTCTGCCCCTATGCTCCCTCCCCGGGGAGGATTTTGGATGGCCTCTTTTCCTTTTACCCTCCAGAGTTAATTCAAGAAAGTTTTAAGGGATACTTCAAAGAAAAGTTAGCATCCAGACATAAATCTTCAACTATGTCTCAATTGAAGCAATCACTTACTCTTTGCAGAATCATCATCAAAATGATCCACTGCTGACAATACCAAGGCTTCATCTGCCTCCAGGATATAAGAATTCAGTATTCCACCATCCAAGTCCTCTCCTGGCAATCACAAAATTAATACAAGAATAAGTTATTTAAATAATTCCCAAAGGAATTATTACCCAACATGTGACATTCCTTATTGATCGTTGCCTCTTTACAATGATCATAACATGCATTGTCTTTCTTAACTCAATCAGAGCTCCTTCCTTCCTTTCCAACCAGCACTGATTGATAAACTGGTGATAGATAATACCATCAAATGCTTGTTTCAACAGTTGGAAATGTTTGTTTCTTAACCTTAAAAACATTACCTGGATGTAAGAAAAAAGAGGTAACTCCTTTACGAAGTTCTTTCTTGCCCAGCTGATTACGGCCTTTGCTATCAATGGGGTCCATAACAATACAGTAATCTTTACGAGACAAAACTGTTTGAGTCACTTCAGCCACGACTTCCTGTTAATTTCAAACAAAACATCAAAGAAATTTCATTATGCTGTTTTGTTTAATTGGTCTTCAGGTTTGATACAGAAGAATTGACAATCATAACATGATAATCATACTACTCAGTTGTCTACTTTACCTCAAACACTTCAGGTATATACATCTCTGTGTCCTCAGAGGTAACAAGCCACTCCTCCCCTGCATTCCTGACAAACACATTTATCATACCTGGTTTTTAATCAGTCTGATTTATTATTGAGAGATCAAAGTAAACTCAGTTTTGAAAAAAGCAACAAAATGATCACAGAATGATTACAGCTATTGCAAAGAGCCACTAAATATCACTGAGTGAAACCAAGTCTGATATCTTTATATCTTTATATCTATTCAACATGTCACCATAATACAGGGCTCAAAATTAACAGTAACCTGTTAACCAATGGTTAGTAATTTTCAAGGTTTGGTTACAAAAAATGTGTCCAACTAACCCAACATGGTTAGCAAAATTTTCTAGCATATTTAAAATATGTTATGGAAATAACCTTTTTACAAATAAATAATAAGTTTAAGGAATGGTTTATGTGTTATTTACTTGCATTAGCTTGTTTTCTGTCTCAAACAATTTGTTCTTGCTGTCTTTGGGATCAAATTGAGTTTTACAACCATTTCGAGTTCTAAGGCCCAGGGCCCAGTTGTTCAAAGGCCGATTAGCACTAATCCAGGGTTAAATTTTAATCCAGGTTTCTATATTTCTCTGTGCAAAGGCTGTTTTGGGCCTACTTTCCCAATTCTTTTTAGAGCATTCAAAAATCAAATTGTAGACAAATGGAATTGAAGTAAATTTTCTTTTAAAGCTTTCAGATCTAAAATTACATTTCACACTAACCACTAACCCTGGGTTATTCTGACCCGCCTTTGAACAACCCAGCCCTGAATGCGAATTTGTGTCAAATGTGGAGATCTGGACACAATTTTATTGGATCCACCATGTTGAGAATATTCGCTTCGAAGTTATACATTGTTCACGAGGTTCTGGCAGTTAGGCATTAAATCATGCAGAGTTCTTTAGTCATGGTAAACGAGAGGGGATTAAAATAAGTGCTTAATTGTCAATGTTTTTAAGGTAACCATGCAATTTCAGCTGCTCTTTAATTTGTCCTAGTTGTTATTAACAAAATGTTCAATGTTTGAGATATCGTAACTTCTGAACTTGGATACCAAACTTTATAATTTGCCGATGGTTACTAAATAACATGTCTACTAACCCGAAGGGTTAGTGATCCAAAAATTAAATTCCAGCCCTGTAATAATTACAAGGAGCCAGTAAATATCACTGGGTGAAACCAAGTCTGATATCTTTATATCTTTATATCTATTCAACATATCACCATAATAATTCCCAACCTCTTTTTCCCTAGTGCATCAGTGCATGTCTGCTTTGCTCTCATGTGCAAGGCTGTCGTCTCTGTCAGAGTGTGAGCTTTTTCTACACCCAGTACCTGAAAAGGAATGAAATGAGTCCTCACTAACTGTAACTTAAATGAAGGCAGCAGCAGGGTAGAAGGGCCAAGGAGGGCTCCATTAACTCATTTAATGAAGTTTTGGTGGCATAGAATCCCCCCACTTCCCTTCACCCTGATTCAGTATGCTCACTATCACTTGTCTGAATAAAGGCAAAAAATTTTTAACAGGTGTTTATTAATTTTCAGAGTGTCTTTTAATTTCCAGAGTGAAAAATTCATATCAATATGAATATAGTTCATATCTGACCACTTGCCGCCCAGATGCTGAATTATGGGCACAGTGTAAGGTTGAGAACAGACGTCGGCATATCATTCAACCATTTCTTGTTGTAAGGTCCTAAAATTAAGATTATTAATCACAAAGGGCTTCTCTTGCAATTACTAGTTGCAAAGAGTGTTCTATTACAATTAATAATCGTGAAAAGTACACTATAAATTGTGACTGAATAACTACTAGTCATATTTGACGAGCTTTAGACTTTATAATTGTGCATTGTACAGTTAATAATCACATCTGACAGGATCTGACAGCAACTGTTCTTATTGATCATACTCCTCTCCAACCATATATAACCCAGTTATATATATAGATCACCCTTAGCAAAATAATATGTTGCAGGACTTTTTTCAGAAAAAAAAATGCCATCAAATTCATTAATTAATGATCTTAGTTATGTTATTACTAATACGTCCTTGAGGCTATACGCTGACGACACTACTCATTACGCCTCTGATGTCTCACCAACAGTCTTGCAGTATATAATTAACTCTGATCTAAGCATTCTATCGAGACGGTTCTCAATGAATTTTTTGCAGATTAATGCCGGCAAAATGCAAGCTATCACTATTGGCCCGTCTTCATACCAGTATGATTTCCATCTTAATGATTCTAATGTCCATACAAAGGATACACTCAAAATCCTAGGGGTGGTCCTAGATAGCAAATTAAGATTTAAAGCACACATAAAGCAACAGCTGAATAAGGGATGTGCGAAGGCTTTGGCTTTGCGGAGAATACGCAAGTTTATTTCTAAGGACGTGTTAGTTCATTTATACAAGGCCTATGTTCTCCCTTATCTTGAGTACTGTAGTCCCCTTTTACTGGGAGTAGGTAATGCAGAGACTACTAAAATAGAGACAACTAATTACTTTATATTAAGAACTATATTAGGCTTTTCAAAGTCTGCGTCATATGACTTCCTCCTCAAGTTGGCTGACATTAAGTCCTTGGAGAATCGTAGGCAATTCCAATCGTTAGTTATGTTATATAAGTGCTTGTATGATAAGGGGGCTCCTTATATAAGTGATTTTTTTAATTTTAGAAATGTACCGTATAGTTTACGTGGGCTCAGTACAAGGCTAAATTTACCTCCTTTTAATCTTGAGTTTTTACATCGGTCATTTTCATTTTTAGCTAGTAAACTTTGGAATGCACTACCCCCTAAACTCAGAGAATTTCAAGAAATTGTTTCATTTAAGCGTTCTCTTAAAGTCCACATGGCTTAGCAGTAGTGATTGTAAATATATTGTTATTGTTAATATTGTAAATTTTTGTTGATAGCTCTTGTCTATGATCTTCGATCCTGTTTTTATTTATTTAATAGATCTACTTATTACTTGTATTCTTACAGAAATTACGTTTTCTTTTTAATTGTCGATGTACATACACGTACACATTTTAAAGAGAACTTCTGTACCCCTAGGTGTCACGCGTTTCAATAAAGATTGGATTGATTGGATTGGATTGGATTGGATTGTGAGAATAAACAAAAGGACGTACTTTACACTCACCTATAAAGAGGTTTACAAAGAGGTTTGGAAAATTTGTGGAGGGGCATGTATCTGACTTTATATTCACTGACCCTCTCCATGGTTTACAAATACTGCTACAATTGGTCGCACAGTGACAAACTGAAGGAAATGTTTTTTTCTGGTAGGCAAGGTAACAGGGGCCAATATATTATTCTTCTTTCTTTGTAGATTCCCTGTGCAAAACAGGTAGATCTAGAGTATTGATTCATTCAATACTAATGATGATAATGTACAAATTGCCAAACAGTTATGCTCCTAATCTGGTGTCTAAATGAGTATTTGTTGGCTACTAACCTCTTCATAGGCCCCAGGTAAATAGGCTCCAGGATCTCTTATTAACCATTGCTCAGATGTAACACGATTCCTACAAAGAGAATGAAGATAAAAAATTGCCAAGCTAAGAATGATCACATAATTACAGCATGGAAGGTATTGCGCTATTAACAAAAGAACCTTCTCTGATATAAAATGAATAATGTTACTTCAGTATTCATTTCATTTTGTAGAGCAGGTTGAAAAGCGGTAGCATAAGCTAATATGGAGCTGCTATACTATACTAAATAATTAATATATATTTATAATAATGTCAAATTTCATTCTCTACTTTTTATTGACTGTGAAACTCTGGAAATAATTAACTCCTTGATTAAATGCAAGCAGGTCAATTCTGACAGGTCAATTATATTACAGTTGAGTAGAAGCAAACCCAAAACCTCAACTACTTACCATAGCTGTTTGCAATTTAGTTTTCTGATGCCTCGTTGGCTTTCCCTTTCAAACAAAAAATTCTCTCCCAGATCTCTCTCAGATTCATGGCTATATGAATTCCACAATAACATCATGAAAAATTCAAATGATCATAGTTTGTTTTGCTTGCTGTGGATTAATTAATCATGCTTACTTTCCTTTCTTGTCTATCAATCCCTGCTTGGCCTTTAGACGTAACGCTTCTCCATGTTTGATGATACGAGGTGTCACTCTTGTTTCAATTTTCTGCAAAAATTAAATCAGTTTCTGACTTACAGTGGATTGAAGAAATGTTATTCATAACAAAAGTGTTTTTACAAGCTGAAGAAGCTTGACAGAAATGCCTAAGAAGTATCTTTTTTCATTCAGATCAACATACTGCATACGGTGTGGGTCTGTACGTCAAAGGTCCCTCAAGCTGCCACATATCTCCTGCTTTGCGCTCTTCTTCACCATCAATATGATCTACGATGGCTGTTAACCGAAGACCTTCATTGGGTCCAATAACAGGGAGAGCCTTGATTCCAGGTTTATAGCCTGTGCAATCAAATTAGAAGAGTTAACTAGTTTTTAGTCTTACTAGCAATGTTTGTCTCTGGGGACTCATTTGTCCTTATACCCCTGTATGTTTGTACTCCAAAGATACCATTGTAGTGTAATTATAAGAAACATATTCATGTTACATCTAAAATCAAGAAATTGGACACCTACTGGCCACATTTCTTACTCCTTCAATGGCTTCACCAGGATAAAGAGGGAATGGTTCCTAAACAATAAAATCCATGATGTAAAAGTAAACGCTTCAATGATATCCAAATGCATTAATTTAGACGATAAAGAAAAACATGAAGAATCATCATTTGTAATGGAAATTATTTATAAAACCTTGAAAAATCTAATTTCTCTATGTCCATGGTTCAAGTCAAACTGTTTCCCTGGTTCACAAGGTTGTCTGAAATGTACAGGAGATAATGCAGAGTTATGGTCTATGATCAAAAGTTTTGAGGAAAATCACCATAAAAACAACAGGGAAAGATTTGTTTGGACTCACTTGACAGGGTTTCGTATGACACAGTAATGACCTGGTGGAATAACCACAAACGGCAAAGGACCTGCCACTAACTGGTGATTATCTTGAAGAATCAAACTCTTTGGACCCACTTCCAGTACAGTCACATTAGTGTTCTAAAATAAATGAATAAAAGAACTCATAAGAATGAATACAGCATACTGAAATAGAATAGGTAACTTGTTATTTTCATTCTCTGTTTACTTGTTATTATTAACATTGACAGGTCCACACCCCCAGGTGTGACGTCAAACGCTATGACGTCACAAAAATCATTTCACTTTCCTGGTAAAGAAGAAAGAACAAGAAAAACACTTTAAAAACAATATACGAAGAAAAATATACATTTCAGAAGATAACTAACAGAAACAACTAATTTAATCGCAGCAAGTATTTAATGTTGCAGTCCCCATGAAAAGTAGAATTGGTAACTTTTACGGATAAGCTACGAACGACAAATTAAGCGAAATGAAACTTTTCATATTCTAAAGAAAACGAAACATACAACTCGATTTTTGTCGAAATGTTTTGTTCTTTAGTCCTTTGTAGGTGCAAAATCTGGAAAAATAGAGAGCTTAAGATAACTTAAATGTCATTTTTACGATAAAAATCATTTGGAATCGTCGCTGATTAACAGCTGATTATTTTAAAACTTGCTAACTCCCTGCAAATTCCCTCTTATGGAGGAGCAGTTTACTTGCGAGTAGCAAATAATCCAAATGGGTTAAGGAGATATACCTACCAGATCTAAAAGATGAATATATTGCATAGGCTGAATCCGGACGATATTGTTCATTTTTTTTTTTTTCTTGAAACAACTCGGAGTGCTACAACCCGTCCGCTGCGTGCAGGGAGATCGAATGGTTTGCAAAACGCAAAACTTGCAAATGTTATTCTTTCCAGTCCCCCGTCGTCTCCTCCGGGGTTCTCTGTGTTTGCTCCATATTTGCTCCATATTTGGAATGTTTGTTCCAAATATGGCATTGTAAAGAACTCCCGCGAAAGTCCAAACATTTCGTGTTGCACTACTCTTGGGGTAAACTACTCGAACTCGAAGCTCCTTTTTGGAATTCAGTTTTCATTGAGATGCTTAGCGTTGGAGAACTACTTAGATAAAATACAGCGATCAGTATCTTCTTTGCTGCCTTTTAAAATCATTTCCCGAGAAGATGATGGTGGAAAACGAATGGTGGAAATCGCAGCTTGCTCTGGAAATACACGACGTTCTCCGAGAGAAAGAAACCAGATTGCCACCTTACACTTCATCTTCACCTCAGCTAAAACTTAGGCGTTTCCTTGTTGATTGGCTTGCTGTCTTCTCCGAGAAGATTAAAAGTTCTCATGGGGTGCTTCATTTGGCTGTTTATTATATGGACATTTTTATGGATAAATTTGATATAGATGAACGCAAACTTTATCTTGTTGCGTTATCATGTTTGCTGCTGGCAGGTAAGTGTTAGGCTCTGATTTTAACACAAGCACTCTACATATTGTAATTCATTCCTTATCATTTAAAGTAAACGGTAATTATAAATGAATTGCTACATGTCGTATTTTGATGTTATGATATGTATTTCCTACTTTGATATAGTTGGTCATGATTTCCAAACAAAAAGTAGGCTTACCTCACTAAGAGAAATTGTAGTGTGCTTCATAGATCACAATCCGTACACAAAAATTTTGAGTAATATAATCATAGATTAGATAAATCATTTTGATTTCTTATGAACCAAAATAATTATGTGACGATGTTGTGAATGGTTCCTTTTGTACCTTCGAACAAAGCGCGCCTTTTGACCTAATTACCCAATTTTAGGAATTTGTTTTATTCCTTGGGGGAATTTTCCTCTGAACTACAGACTATTGTTGCATATCCATTTTTTTCTCCCATTTTTTTTCATATTTTTCTTCTTTTTTTCTTTGGTAGAGATTTTTACACTACTAGGTAGACTAATAATACATTTATAAAATGATGTTGAGTTGCAATGAGAAGTATTGCATTTCAGCCAAACGAATTCAGAAAAAGGCAACATGACTCTAAATTAAACTTAGGCACAGGAGTGATGATATATTTTAAAGTATTGACCATAGCTTCCTTTGAAATTTTTTTTTTACAGCAAAGTTTGAAGAAAACGAAGACAAGATACCTACCATATCAACGTTGAATGCCTACGTTCATAACCTGTTCAGTGCACCAGAATTTCATCCCATGGAACTGATACTACTGAATTTCTTCTCATGGAATTTAGATTTACCAACACCAGTGCACTTCATGGAGTACTACTTGATACATGCAATTTCAGCAACAGACTGTCAGTCTGGAAGAAGTATTGAGGATAACACCAAACCAATGGCTTATGCTAGGAAATATGTGCATTATTTCCTGGAAATTGCTTTGCAGGGTAAGATATATTTCTAAAAAATATTTGGACTACCCCTTGACCCTTTAAACCAGTGACCAGCATTTAATTTCTCCTAACAGCAGTTGTACTGCTGAGTCATTCATTGAGATAATAAGAAGAAAGGAAGTGACCACCAACCTAACAATTCTCCTTGTCAGGTTTGAAGGAAATGTGTAGAGAAGAGTATGGCGAATGTGGATACTGATGCTAAGCTGTAAATGTGTAGAGAAGAGTATGGTGAATGTGGATACTGATGCTAAGCTGTAAATGTGTAGAGAAGAGTACGGTGAATGTGGATACTGATGCTAAGCTGTAAATGTGTAGAGAAGAGTA